AGGAAGGTCTTGTGATACTCTAATAAATAATATCATTCCGAAAGAAGACATTTATTGTCGATCAATTGTTGTATTAGTCACATTCCAAATTTGGGAAATATCCCTGACTGTAGTACCAATAAATCTTAATATTCTTCTGAATTAGAGTAAATTCTAATTTTAAGAGTTTTTCCCACTGGAGGTTTTTTGGGAAAGGGGGTTGAAGATGAAAGAGTAACATCCTTGACTTTAAAAAGATGATGATGATGAGCTTAATTATCATTTATAAAAGAAACTATATCTTTAAAATTCTTCCATGTTTCATCTGGTAAAAAAGGAAGATTATTTAAACCTTTAGGTGTCTGTGGTTTAGCCGAGTCAACTGTAATCCATGAACAAAGTGCTAGTCTTTTTTAAAGAATCATTCCATTGACTTAAGCACAGTAATTCTTAAGGATAACTAACCAACACCAGTTTTTGAGTGAATTCATCCAGAATGACATATATCTTTTTACATTCAAAGAAGTTGGTTGTGATGGTGAGTCAGAAGATTGTATAAAATTTAAAAAAAAAAAAATTATTTTCAATTAGTATATATTAAAAATATATTTTCTGATTGTATGTAGTAATCAATAATTTGTTTTTTTTATGTAAACATATTAAATATCAAGATCAGGACCTTGGAAATTATAATTGACAAAAGTGGGTAGTGATCTCGTTAAAACACCAGTCAGATCTTCAATCATTTTACATAATAAAAATTTGATTTAAAAAAAAAGTCCCAAAAAGGAAACACACTATCCATTTTTAGTAAGATATTCTGAGTATTTTTCAGAACTTTTTGTTTTCTTACATAACAGTTCAAATATGATTGTCCTCTCATTAATTGATCGAAAAAGCAATATAGTCAGAACCCGTTAAGACAATGCTTTGATAAAATGAATATACACGATAAATCGGCGTGTTTTTATTATTTACCTATTAATTTATCTCTATAAGCCGATTCTATTAATTGAAGATTTTTTTTTTGTGGAAACATTATTGTTCTTTGTCTGTTATTGTAATTCGTGTAACAAATTTACAAAAAAATTTTCATAAACGAAATTTTTAAGATCATGAAAACTACAAGTCCATCATTATTTATTATAATATGTTATCAAGTATTATTTCTTTTTACAGGTTTATTGCAAACTCTTGGTACTCAATATTTATATTACCAAAAAGCAACATCTGGTGCTAGGTATTTGGACAATATAGATAATATATTTTCTCAAGAATTTCATTTTTGCTACTTAGAAGTAAAAATTTTTTTTCGTATAGCTTTCTTACGAATCTGGTACAATATATCGGAATGGCAGCTGTTGGCTTACTTCTTTTGCCTAATTGGCTTGAAAATAGATCAAGGTATTTAGTCGGAAATAGAATTGAAACAGGAATTGATATGGTGGATTTTAAAAAATCGCAGGTTTATTTTTATTTTATAAAATAGAGAAATGTACGTGTTGTTTTTATTGAATTTGTAAATTAATTTATTACTACTTCTTCAGTCAACCAAAAAAATAAAGAAAACTAATAAAGATTATCAACTTTTAACAAATAATTTGGATGAAGAACTTGATTATAATAATAGTAATGATAATGACGATGGTGATGATAATGACGATGGTGATTATAGTGATGATATTATTGATAATTACAAAGATGATATAAATAATTACAAAGATGATGATGATAATTATGAAAATCCACAAGGAGAAAATGAATCATCAATGAAACCTAGAGAATACATTAATTACAAATATATTATTGCAGCAACTTTATTAGATCTTATAGCAAATTTTGCAATTACAATTGGATTTTTTTATATAGGAAGTGGAGTAAGTGTAATAATAATAAGAAATAATCATTTGTCTACTAAAAAAAAGATATACATTAACCTCTATATGATAAAACTTTTTTATAAGATGTATCAAGTAATTTATAGTTCTGTGGTTATTTGGTGTGCAATTCTTTCATTCTTTTTACTTGGAAGAAAACTTTCATTCATACAATCAATCTCAATAGTTGGAGTATCATTTGGACTTGCTTTGAGTGCATTGGGAATCAATCAAAGCTCAGAAGTTACAGAAACTTTGACAATTGATGATGATAATGAAGAAATAGAATATTTTAATTTAAATAGATCAATGTTTGGAATGATTCTTGTATCATTTGCAACACTTGGCTATGCATGTATTTATGTTTTTTCAGATTTGATATTGAATATGAAAACGCCTTATGATATGATACCACCATCACCAGAAACCATTTGTTTTCTTATAGGAAGTTTTGGAACAGGATTTTCAATGATATATATAATATTTTACACAATTCCAAACTGGGATACTTTAATAACACAAGAGATGGCAAAGTTAAGTCAACATGATAGCACATTTACAATAATATTTATTTATCTCCTACTGATAATAGTTTCATTTGCACATAATTTGGCATATTATTGGCTGATGAAACATCTTGGAAATGTTTCTACAGGATTATTGAATTCAGTCAGGGCAATTGTAGTTTTTGGATTAAGCCATTGGCTTTTTTGTCAATTGGATTCAGGGCAATGTTTTAATATTTGGAAAGGATTAAGTGCAGCAGTAGTTGTTGGATTTGTTACTTCTTTTTCATTATGCAGTAAATCAGATGATACTAAATAAATATCAATATTTAATTTAATCAGGCTGTCAATTCTCAACTTTTTTTCATTTATGCCTATATATAAATAATAGATAAAAAAAATAGATATTAATCTATATTAATAGCTGTTTATCAGTTATTATAATAATATTTACAATATTTACATTAGTTGTGTGTACTTATAATACTAAATTATAATAAAATAAATTCCAAACCATTTGCTTATATAACCTTTGCTAATTGTTATTATCAATTGTTTTTTTTTTATTTAAAAAATTATAAATACAATGCAAACATTGGATATCTTATAACAAACTATGAAATGGTTCATTTATATTTGTGAAAGACAACAACAGAAGTACCATGTATACCATCTCATCCAACCTGTTTGAAAGAAAGATCATAAATCTTTTTTTTCAAAATGTGATCATTTCAGGTTAAGATTTGATAATATTAAAAATCCAAAGTCATTGGAAAAAGATGTGATAAATAATGCAATAAATTTTATGCTATTATTATCATCACTTGCTTTTAAAACAACAAGCATGTATTTCTAAGCCTGAGTTGTTTTTTTTAATCTTCCATTATAAAGCTTCACTAACTGTCTTTAGAATGTTCTACAAATCACCAATTTCATTTCTTAAAATTTCAATCTTTTTATTTTCCAACAATGATAGTGACACTTCAGTTGCTTCCTGCTAGTTTCCTCGAGTTCCATCTATTACATTTTGATATTACCTGTATTACCAAATCAATTGCTTCTCTGCTCATTTTTAAGTTCTGAGGGATTCACCTGAAATTCTGATTCAAAGAGTAAGAATCAAAGTACCCATAAAAGCTTGTTCATCTTTTCCATCATTTTGAAACACTATTGTCCTTTAGTGATCTGCTTGCTCTATATTATTTTCTACCTCCAAAATCTGCAATAATTTCCATACAGGCATTAAATCCTTTTCTTAAAATGTAAGTGCTTTTGCAATAAACTTCCTCTCAGTATACAATTTGGATTTGAAATTCACATTGTAATAATGTGGGCAATGGATTTGATTGACATACAAAGGCACAGTATAGAACATGAATGGTAATAATGGAGTATGATGAATTGCCAGCTCACAAATGTTAGAGTGTCGAAATGCTTTTTCAGATTCAAGAGGATATCAATTATGTGCTTCAGTAAGGATGAACTTGTAAAGATGATTAAGTCCAATGTTGTTTGAGAAGGAATGTGCTTGGATCAGAAGAAATTAATGAGTGTATTAAGGATGACTAAAGGATTCTGATTATCACAAAAACTTTTCTTTCTCCAACTTTTTGAAACAGTGTAGTATTGAAAATTCCTCCAGTTTGATGACATTGCTTTCCTCCTTCTAAAGATATTCCCCAAGGGAAGTTTGATTTCTAATTTTTTAAATCCAATTCTTCATCCAGTGCCAAATCAACAGAGATATTAAAACCAGAGTTTAATTCACTTAAAAAAATGGCTGTTATACAGCTTGGAAAACATAGACAACAAGTATATTCCTAAACAAGTAAAATTGATTGAATGAACTCAATTCTGTTTTGTGTCAATCAGTGAGAGCCTTAAGAATAGTTTCACTTTTGAGTGCTAGCATCATATGTGTCAATAGCTAAAGATGCAAAAATAAGTACTTGATTTTAAATAAGGTAATAATTGAACAAAAAATACCTTGTGACTACTCAATTCTGAAATTCCCAAAACATTTAGATCAATGATGTCCTCAACCTTTTGTGAAGGTCCATCTCGAAGACCACACTGGTGCAAAGTTAATGCTAATGGTATAAGGAATAGATCACAAATAATTATTTGAATTAACCTCAGCATCATAATGGACAAAGTGGAGAGGAATAGTGCAACAAGGATGTAGGAAGAGGATGACTCTCTATTTTGAGGCAATGTGAGTCTTGTCCAAATAATAACTACATTCTCATCTTAATTTAGCAAATGACCCTGTTGAATATATTTTAAGATGATAAAATCGAAAAAGGGTGGGAATTAATAAACTTGTAAAATGAAAATGATGTAGTAGTAGTGCAAAAGCCATAACTATATTATAATCGAATAAAATTTATTTTGAATTTTTATTAAAACATAATAGATAACCTCAATTGTTTCAAAATCAATGTTATTATCACCATTGATTAAAAACTTCTAATTCATTCCTGTCAAGTCTTTATCATCATCCCATTTTCATCAAAGTCAGAAGACCCAAATCCATTATTCTTCCATAAACAAAGTATAATTACCTTATCATTTAAACCAATATTTTCATCATAATCATTCTGATTCTCATCTTCCTGTTCTTTGTCATATTCAAAAATCATCAACACCAATCATGACTGCAATAATATCTTGAATAATAGTTTCAAGTTCACGTCATTGCTAGATTATTTAAGCTCTCTTTTTTTATTAGTGATATAATAAGAGTGAATTTGAGTCATTGGTTGAAGTTGAGTAGCATTCAACCTTTAAAAATAAAATTAAATATATAATCTTTTAATTCGAGTATTTAAGTTACGAATTTAAAAAATATTCTAGTCCTTCTTTCACCAATCATCCAGTCTAGAACAGATAATACGCTTTCACGTGCTGTTTGATGAGGAGAGACAGCAAACAATTTTAAAGTAAATCTCAAAGAACAACATAGCGGGTATTCAATTTTAAGAAATGATCGGCATTAGTTATACCCACATATATTTTATATACAAACTGACCCGTCATCTGACTTTAACTCAATTGTGCAACAATATAGACGGTAAATTCTGATTCCTCATCTTCTATTTTATAGACTGCCAAGTTAATTCAGCAA